TTGGACAGCATCGTTTCTGTCCCCAGTGTAAACAATGGCTATTTCTTTCGACTCATCGCCCCGAAACTTTTGGTCACCATCAGGTGTTTTCTCTAGCATCACTGTCCTCGGCTCTGTTTCTGATGTTTCAAGTGATAATTTACGCCCAGCACTACTACTGATTTCTAAACACGGGCTAGCGTCTTCCATGCCAGGATGAAGTAACTGCTGTAACTCAGCATCCACTTTCCCGTCAAATATTAGTCCGGCTGACATACCAATTTCTGACGTACGGGATACTTTGTTGCGCTTCTCAACTGGACCTTCCCATTTGTGATCCACAATTTCATCGGTAAACATTACACTATAAGGATCTCCTTCAAACTCCTTAGCATGCGATAGTGCAACATAGACTTCTTCCAGTGATGTCTCACTTTCACGTTCACCGTTGATGCTTTTTGAGGTCCCCTTCAACAGTTCCTTACTCCTTTGTCGTTCTTTCATTTCTGCAGATTGCTGTTTTACTGTTTCTAAAACTTCCTCAATCTTTCCATACTCATCTCCTTTATGAGTAGATTTGAGCGGTTTCTGTTCAAATGCTCTCACTTCGCTTCTCTCTAATATGTTCTCCTTCATGCCTTCTAATTCAGGCACTTTCTCAAAAAATTCTGCGCTTTCTTGTTCTGTTTCTCCTATGGATTTTTGAAAACTTAATAACTCACTGTCACCTATCTCTGATTGCTCCGTAGCACTTTCCTTCGCTTCAGCCATTCGTTTTAAGCCTTCATGAGCTGATCCTGTTAATTTTAAATTCTTTCCAGAACCTTCCGCAGCTTCCTTTACAAATTCTTCCGCGAGTTCTACTTTTTCCTCAACTCCTGGTTTTTCCTTAGCAACTAATCTTCCTTTATCGAGTTCCATTTTTTCTTTTTGTAACTCGTTAACCAATACGATACTTTTTTCCGTGCCTTTAAGTTCACTTCCAGCAAGAACTCTTGAGGGTTTATCTTCCAGTAGCTCTGTTACTACATCGCCCCTTACAGCATCACGCTGAATTTCCTTTAACTGCCATTCAGTTGCTGCTATTGAACTTTCGTCAAAATGTTTTTGAAATAAGAAAGATTGCATAGAGCCACTTTCTTTTGAATCATCCTTCGCAAACCTTCCTTCATCCTTCTGTGGAAGGATCTTTTTGTCAACAGGCTCTGCCTCGAAACTATCAAGCGGCTGGACAGCTTCTGGCATTTCTGGCACCCTTGCTGTCTCTGAAACGACCAGTTCGGAGATTTCCTCATTTTCACCAGAACCACATCTGATTTCATATTCCGTAAAAGTGGGCAGGTCGTTCATCGTATCCGATTTTTCAAACAGTTCATCTCTATCACTTTTTTTTTCAAGCGCTGGCAAGTGTTGCTCTAAAACAGCTTCTTCTTCCTCTTTTGAGCCACGTTTTCTTCTCACTGCTCTTGTAGCATGGCTATACGCTGCAGCAGTACCTGCAGCGGCCGCCACAACTGGAGCTGCAACAACCGCACCAGCTGCCGTACCCGCTTTTTTAGCGAATCTTATCAGTTTGCGCCCAAACGAAGATCCACTCTGGTGAAGCGGCTGCTCATCAGTGAATGCAGCAACTTGTTGTTCACTGAGATCGATGACAGTTTCCCTTAATTCTTCCGCATTTGGGGCAAGCATGTGCAGTTCTGACGATAATAAAGTTTCTTCAGGTTCGGATTCTGCTAATGGTTCGTTTTCTGCGAAAGATTCCCTTGTTTTTCTGGATTCCAGAAGTACTACTTCTCCACGCACAGGCTGTTCAGTCGTTTTATTTTCCATTTTAACTGATTCTCCCAATACGGAATCTTCTGGTTTTTTTAGATTCCCCTGCTCCATTTTGTCATGCCGCTCCAGCAGTCCTTTCTCTATTTCGCTTTTTACGCTGCTTATTGTGGTAACCATTTCTACGTATTTTTCTGCTTTTCGGGCATCAGTTCTGAGACATATTTCCTGTTTTGCAGTTTCAGTACTTGCATCCGGTGCTGAATAAGATGCCGATGTGTTTTGCTCAGTATCAGTGCCAGGCATTGTATCAGTGAAGGGTAAGCCTTTTCGTCTATCCTCCATTACATTCTCAGCAGAATTCGGTGAAAAACTATTTTCCAAGCTTTCATCAACCGGTCCCCTTTCATCTTCCTGTTTGAGTAATGTGTATGCCGGCCCAATATCCTCTGCTGAAAAAGGAGTTTTTCTCTTTGCTTCATCAAATTCCATTTCTGCATTGGCTGCGCCAGAATTCAACGATATCATCCCGATTGCACTGCCATGCTTACTGTCCGCCAGAAGTTCGCGACCCCCTACCTCCCGAACTTTTTCAGCATTGTCTTCTGCTATAGTATGTATGGGGCCAGTAGGTGT